ACACACACACACACACACACACACACACACTCATCAACACTGCTAAAAACTCTTTACCTCAGGACCTCAGGTGATCTTCTGACCTTTCTTTAGCCCCGCAATAGAATTTCAGCCGTCGGCAACTTTGATCAACTTTGTTTTGATTGAAGCCATCAATTCACAATTGAAGTGAATGCTGACCGACCAATCAACATACATTAGCGTAATGCTAATGAACAGCGGCCTCTCTGTGGGGAAAAACAAAAACACATAAGTGCTTTGCTAAACTCAATTTTGAATTTGAAAATTTGACGTACTATATTTGTAAAAACGTAAAACAAAAGGTGTAAATAATTTTTTCAGCTGTTGCAGCTCCATTCACTCCTACTCACTGAAGACTATCCTGCAAGTGCGCCGTAGATGAATTGCTGCACGCTGGCACTATTAGGGAGCGAGCAGTCTCTGTGTAGACAGGCACTGGCGGAAACTCCTTCTTTCTTTTTATATTTTCCAGTCGCTGCCAAGCTGCTGCTGATGAAAGGCGAACACACTGGAGCTAAAGCCTCATACCACTTTTCAGATTGGTTTGTTTCATTTGAAAGCAACAAACAAACTCTCAGCATGTGATCCATATTGTGAAACCCGTGTCTGTATGTTTTCTACAGTGTTGTGTGCTCACACCTCTGCAAAGAAAGTTAATGGCAAGCATGAGGAAACGTATCAGAGCCTCACGTTCTTGACATATACCATCTCCTATTTTTATGCTTGTTTTCTGTTTTGTTTTGTTTTTCATTTGCAGCTCTCTGCCATCTCCCCCTGTCATTTTGTGACGAGAGCTCACCTGTGAATAATTCATGAGGAGCAGCACATACGATTACGCTGGTTAAAAAGTAATGAGGCATAGCCGTAATAAAAGGTTGCCTTGCGTTGTTGTACCAAGTGTCTCTCACACGCCGATGTCATTGCTGGCCCCAAGTTCGCATGAAAGCGCATCCTCGTCGCCTCTGACAAAGCAGAGCGTTAAGAGAGAGAAAACAAGAAAACACAGCCACGGCCTGTGGAGCAGGTGGTTAGAAAACAGGCAACACAGAAGCCCCCTCCCTCCTCAGCTCAGCGGTATGATCTAGCCCAGGCTATGAGCTGTCACCGGGGGCTTTTCATGTCTGAGCTTGGGAAAGATCAGTAGACTCCCCGTCTGAGCTCGGAGCCCTTTGATAATCGATGGAGCTTACAGTGGTGCTTTGTAACGACAGCGACCGTTCACGGTCCAATCAAACCGCAACGCTGTCCTCTCTTGTTTGTTCCCAGGATTGTGCAGGCTATTTCCTGTTTGACTTAAAATGAGGCCTTGTGTTTTATGAGCGTGTCAGCGCTGACAGCGAGGAGATACACCGGCATTACAAAGCTCCTACTTTTTCAATTTTGGTACAATATCTGTTTGCTGCACAGCTCGGCATTGTTTTGCATGCAGTTTAGAACAGATGCAAAGCTGACACACTTTTTACATAACCTGCGCTTACACTCTGTGACACACACTATGACTTTGGTAGCGATGAATCAACTTCTTCATGACACAAAAAGCATTAATGTGCAAATAGTCATTAGTCATCTTCTGCCATCTGTCAGATGCATAATGACGGCAAGTGATCAAGTATTAAGTGGCAAATGTGGTGTAAGTCAGTAAAAACAGCACCCCTTTGCACGCTGGAGAGGTGGTTTTAATCTCATTGACTGAAATGAGCAGCTGTGGGGAGGTTTAACTAGCTCAAATTTCACACTTTAGATTTCAGATTCCTTTAAAATCCTCCTGCATCACAGTCCATTTTAACTCTTTTCTCAGTAACAAACAGAAAAACAACAAAAAAAGGCACGTATACTATGGACATGTCACACTTAAATAATTAAATAAGAACGGCAACCTTCCAGCAACTAAAATGTATTTTTTATTAATTTTTTCCTTCCTTGACCTCACATGTAACAGTGTTTGTCTTTGGTGTTTAAAGGCTGTAGGTTGTGTGGGTAAGCTGCAAACACATTGCCCTTTTTGTAGATTAATGAAGTCATCTGAATCTGATTTTTTTTTTTGCATTTGGCAGCTGATTGCAAGTTGCTGAACTGACCAGCTGGTCACCCAGAGGTTGAGCGTGGAAGCGCTCAGAAACTTCTGCATGACCATTTTCGATGCAAGGGCGATTGCACAGGTCACCTGGTGGGAGGCAACCTCCAAACAACTGCAGTCTGGCTCAGATTGAGTGGAGTCTCAGACAAATTAGTCAAGGTTTACCAATAATTTCCTCCTAATTTATAAATGCAGACAGAGTCACTCTGTGCTGATTAGCACACCTTATCTTAAGTCTGACAGCAGACTTGCAATTTTCAGTGATTTATCACAGTTAATCTCCATGTTATCACAGACTGAAAGCAGACCAATGCGATTGTTGTTGTTTTATCTCTGTCTTTGAGCATAGCAGCTAACTGTGGGCGCTCTCACACCTGGTTCCATCATAAAGGCAATAAATTGGTCTCAGCCACTGTTTTCTTCTAGTGCGGCTGTAGCAACAACCTTCCTAACACTAGGTATAAGGAATGATGGTACAATATTGTATAATGGAAACTCTTTATAAAAAATATTTATATATTTGTACTTTTTCATGTCGTTTATTTTAGTAAACTTGTTTGTTTTCACTGTGGGGTTAGATTTTGGAACTAAGTCTGCTCAGTTTAACTACACATTAAAAAGGTTCCCTTGTTTACCACAGTGTGGCATCTATGACAGAGAGGAAAACAGCAGACCACTTTTTTGCCCACAAACTTGTCACAGCTACATATTTCAGATGTAAAGAAGCTTCTATTGAACTCTGTTGGACTAAAGTGCATGTTAACGCCAAAAAGATACTGTGTGAGTGCCAATGAGAAGTCAATGGGTGAACAGCAGCAGCCACAACAGGGTTACTCCAGTGTAAACACACTCCGGTCATTAGCTATCATAGCTAAATCCACAATAAGACAGGGTGTGCATGAGAGAGGGAATACATTTTGTGGGGAAAATCACTTTAATATCATGCAAACCTTTGAGTTAAATGAACCGGACCGCTGGAAAATGGCCACATATCTTTGCTTGACCATCATTTGTCGGTAGGAGTTTTGAAGCTTTACCCAAACTGTGATATTTCATTAAAACTAACCAAGTATATTTGATGCCTATAGCTAACCAAACAGAATGTGAATATAAAGTAAACTGTGAGGGGAGAAAAAAGAGAATGCAAAAAACAGAGCTCACAAACAGGACTCAAACCGCAGTCTTCTGGTTGACAGCATTGGTTAATGAGATCGACTAATTGGCTTGACACGGGACAAGCTGTGCCTGAAACAGAAAAGAAAAAACACGACGACTTCGAAGATGTCAATGAGGGAATGTGTCAAAAACAGACTCCTATATTAATCTCAGGTATTCCCCACCTCAAATCTATTTTGGTCGCACAAATACATTATTCAGTTGTTGTGAATCTAATTAAGAATTGAACATGCACAGATGGTGCTCTTGACCTCCCGTGAGTGAAGTACATTGTATGAATAAGCTGCAAACAACTGACAAACATGTCTCTCTTTTCATGTGAACATACAGAGTTTGGGTTTGAGTTAATTTTTTCTGGCTTTAGAGGCTGTTTGCTAAGTTTGAGAACCCCAGCTATAAAGGTTTCTCCATGCATGCATGTTTTCCATGCATTTCTAAGTGCAATCACACATCTATCATCTTTACAATAGCAGTTAAGGAGAACCTGCTCATTTCCTGTCCCCTCATATTAGACAGACCTCGTTAATAAGCCTTGGTACCTGAAATACTGTGACATTTCCACTGCCTGCTCTGCGAGCATCACATGCAAGTTAGTCTTCCTGACTGCTTTATGATGCCCACTGAACAGGACAAACAGCACAATGACAGAAATAATGGATGGAGAGAGAGAGAGAGGCCAAATTAATGGATGAAAGAGTAGGGAGCAGATTGATTGAATAAAGAGCAGATATAAAGAGCACACATAGTGAAGGCACACAACATTCATAGTGAACCCAAAGTCCCCAAGGTTGTTTTGATATTTCCGAGCCACTTCCCAAGATCCGGTTGTATCGTGGAGCCAAATTGATTTATAAGAGCACATTTATTATGTGTTTGTTGAAGGGTACACATTTTGTGTGCTTGTACAGAGTATGGAGGGTTTATAAGAAACTGTTTTTGTCATGTACCATATCATTGTCCACGGCTCGTAACTTTGTGCAGGTGTGACTGAGCTTGATGCAGGAACCACAGTGAGAATCCAGGAACGTGGAAAACTGCAAAGAAAAAAAGAAATAAAGAGAAAACAATTCAAAGTTACATCTTTAAAGCTTTTTTTAATTCAAAAAAGGTGATTTTTTTCTCCCTGCCTACAGATCCCCTTCTTTTATTGCCACCCATCACTCTTTCCGTCTTTATCTGTCGGCCACAGCCTCTTCTCATTTAATGCCTGCTGTGTGCTGGCCAGATCAATAGTCTAAGACAAACATGTGCAGGCATAAACGCACGCACACACACGCACACTGACATAAACTCAGGCAAACGCACACACCACACACCTTGAAGGAAAATATCCCGGCCCTTCAACTATAATCACAGGGGCTCTTACTGTAGAGGCAAAACTGTTTCTCACCAGTATTTGATACCTGATTGTTGAAGACAGGTAAAAATAGACAGCCCAAAAGCAAAGAGCGTCTGGAACTGAGGGTGAAATGGGAAAAAATATATATAATTTCAGATAAGAAGACTAAAAGCCCTCAATCCAGCCAACCAGCTACACAGACTCGCTACATTCACACAGACAGCATCAGCCGGGGAAAGCAGGGCACGATTAGCATCCTGTGAATGTGCATGAGCTGAGCGGAGCTGAGGTGAAATGACTTGTGTCATGTCTGTGGACCACTAGCGGCTGACGGCCTCATCACACATAGCCCCGAGCGGTCCGCGTGCAGGCCGCCCATTTGCGTAAAAAACCTGATTAGGACTTTTTAGCTTTTCAGATCGGCCCTGCCCGTCGTCCGCAGTGGACGCATCCAGTCACAGTTACTCAGTCCCGGCCTCTGGACGATTAGGCACCATCTCACTCCAAGCATGAGCGATTCTTTTGCTCCCCTCTCGCGCTCTCATCGCTCGCCGGCAGGGTCAGGGGACAGACAAGCTGAAGACTTCATTCCTTACGCTTCTGTCGTTTAAATCAGGTCGGATGAGTGTCATCGAGCCCTCCCATTTAAAAGCATGGTAATCTGATTCTTTCTACTCATGACTCTATCTGCTCTCTACTCTTCTGCCTCCAACTCTCTCTCAGTTTATTTCCCCAACTCTGTCTCTCTGTCTTTATCATGGTTAAGTTGCGATTGAATTATGCCCTCTGGAGTGGCTCTATCGGCCCCCCATCTAGATACTGAGCTGTCACCAACAGGCCCACATTTCCCAATCCAAGCTGCCCAGGCCAGTTTCTCTGCCCTTGCACTGCACTTGCTCGCTCTCCCTCTTCACCCTGGCCCTGCACTGTCACCTTGGATCACAAGAGTAGAAGGAAGATGAAGACAAAAGGCGGAAAGCAAACGCTGACCTCATGGCAGCTTTGTATACGCATGTGTATAACTCCATGACATGCAGCAGGAATGGCTACTATGACAAAAGTAATACAGTATCCTTTCTTTCATCCTGCTTTTTATTCTTGCTCTATTTTTCCATCGCAACCTTGATTCACTTTATCTTACTCATACACGAGGCATAGTAGGAGAGCTGCAACAAGTTCTCAGATGGGTTTTATGCTATTAAATCCTTGCACTGCTGTTCATTAAATAAGATGTGAGGCGTTAACAAGTGCAACACGTAACAGTTTCCTGCTTTGTGTTGCCTTAACTAAAACCACAGCACTGTAGTCACTGTTACCATCCACTTACATGTGCTTTGTGATACATACTAACATGTGCATTAGCAGCAGCAAATTCAAGCAGAGAGCGAAGTGTGAGGAGGAGGGGGCTGGGAAGCAGAGGCTCTCCAAGCATGCTGGTTAGAAGCATGTTGTCGTAATTATGCCTGACAGCCTCCTCAAAGAACATGAATAAAAAGCTCGACACCTGGACTCATACATAACGGTTTAGTGTAAAGAGGGTGGCTTGAACTCCAAACACGTGTAATGAATGCACATATTGTGCAGAGACGTATGTAAGAAATGTGCATAGTAAAATGAGTGACAGAGTCGGTCACACATGACAGCGCTGACTGTGTTCGTACATGGGATGAAAAAGAAGATCTTTTCCTATTGATTCCTACACTTTATAAGACATGTTTCTCAAAGCGGTGCAATATTTGCTCCATTGTGCTCGCTTCTTTTCAAATCTTTCAGGAAAGAAAACAACTTTTTATTCCCCTCTCTCGCTCTCTTCTTTCTCTGCTGAATCGCAGGCGTTGCTGAGTTGTGGCCTTTGATTTTCATCACACTTTATCAGGTTGACCAGAGGGTCCTTGAGTGACTTACCTTTACTACACTCGCTTCGTCTCTCACTCTCAGAATAGTCATATGCTCGTTTCCAAGGCAACCAACCAGGACCCTTGTCCAGAGAGGGTTGACAGACATTGAATGGGGGAGCATTAAAACAGAGCCCGCTTTCACAAAATACAATACGCTTGTTCTTATAGATGGTTGATATATCCGTTTTTTTGTTTGTTTGTTTGTTTGTTTGTTTTTAAATTCAGGATGTCTACGATCCTACATAATACTCTGGTAAAATATGTTTCCTCTCCAAATGCATGAAACAAACTAGTTCTGGAATAAACTGCAGCCCCCCCTCCTTAGAGGGAAAAAGAGACTTAATTTTCCTCTCCCATGGGTCAGCACACCGAGTAAGCTCCATTAATGTAAAGAGAGAAATTAGAGGCTTACAAGAAGTGAAAAAGAAAAACAAAACTCAGTGGGCCAGCACTAAGAGAGAACATTGCTATCACTCGTCTAATTAATCTGTTGGCTATGCGATGCCCAGGGAGTGTAAAGGAGACTGAGGAGCTGCGGCGGCGGCAAGAGACGAGAGGAACAATAGAAAGCTCAGTCTCAGCTGGGGTGTTGTATAATATTTTGAGGAAAGGAAGGGACAATTAAGAGCGGGGCAATTAGTCCACTCTCAAAAAATGTGACAATCAAGAAACTAGAATACAATTATACAAAGTTAAACTTCATGTTTCGGACTGCAGGACATAATACATATACAGTAATTGAGTGCAAGGTCACAAATCACTTTAATGGGGGCCGCTCCTTAAAGCAGTGCTGTTGCTCTCCAAAAGGGGACGCTGTTTCCCATGATCTTACAGGGTCTGAACAGTGTGGCTGTTTATTGTAAAGAACAGGAGACTCAGACCAAGTAACATTTAATTTAATACTAACATCCCTACTGGCACAAGCCTTGACTAAAGTCCTGCTTCTCTTCAGCTCAGCACATTAAATTGGACACTATTTAAGGAGAAGAGCTGAGTAAATGATACCTTGGTTTAGTTTTTTTCTAAGATCGTCATGGGAAAAATAACTGTGGTGTTGTAGCTAAATATTTAGCTGTAATAAACAGCCCTACCATGTGTTCTGTAAAGTCTCCAAAACTGATGTTATTCATTGAAGAGATTAATGAAAGAAAAAGGTAACTTTCCGTACTATCGTTTAAATGGAAAGTAGCCTTTACTGAATAAAATTGGGAGGATTTTTTCCCCCAGATTTTAAAATGTCTCTATCTGATGCACACACAGTTTACATTGGAGAGGTAAAAACTGCTGCACTTCATTGTGAACTCCTGCTTAAACACACCGGGAGAGAGAAAAGGACTCGGCTGGCAGCTCATGTGCACCGCTGTTGCTAAACGATGACTGATAGCTGATATCCAATCAGATTCACTTTGCAAGGATGTTTTCATTATGTCTGGAACATCAGTCATTACGTCTGACCTGCTCTGGATGGAGGAGATAGGACTTAGTGCAGACACGGGTTTGGCTCCAACTCCTTTAAAGCAATCTCTGTAAATGTTCATCAGAAGGGCAGCTTTAACAAATGTCCTCTTACAGATCTTGAACCTTTAAATAAAACGGAGTGCTTGCAACTGTTTCTCCAGCCTATTAAAACACAGTTATTTTTATTTCCATTTGAAGAAAATAGATTAATTATGGTATGTGAAAGCGAAAAAAAATAGAAATCTAAAGTTTATTTCCTTAAATCTTTCCTTTCTTTTTAGAGGCAGTAGAGTGTGAACTGATCAAGGACAAACAGGCTTTCTTTTGACTATATGGCCCCTGGTTTTCTCCTTTTCATCCAAAAGAAAAAGCGAAAAAGTACTGATTGAAGGATGCCGCACCTCTACCTGCCCATCAATAAATAAAAACTAAACACTAGAGATCAAAATTGTGTGAGAGGAAAAGGAGAAACTGCTATAAAGATGAGTTCTCAAATTCAGGTCTTGTACAGTAGATTAGGAAGTCACAGTCCTTCAGTTTCTTGGAGTAACCCTGCATTTCCCTGTGATGAAGCCTTAAAGATCTGAAGAGCATCAAGAGACATATCTAAGAGAAGTGCCTTCAGTTTTTATTCATGTTCCTTCCCCTTTCTTTTTCAAGTGATCTGCAGCTTCAGAGAGAAGACGGTGAGGGAGAGGGATAGAGAGAGAAAGGGAGGCAGAGGGAGAGAGAGTGGAAGTGTTTTCCAATAGAAATGAGGCGAGTTGAAGTAGACTCTTCAGTCGGGCTGAGGCTGTCACCGCTCAGTTCAAAACATTCTGCCATGCAAAACAGGCAAAAGCCCCGCAAACCTGTAATATGACTTTGCTTTGAACATCAGGAAGCTCATTCTCAAGCAGGTCAGACTTTTTAAAACTTTGAGAAAATGTAAAAAAAAAATCAGTCCTGATAAATCGGTCTCGGGACTGAAAATTTTTCACTTTCATTTGTGGGCGCAGAATTAGGTCCGGCATTTCATTTTTCTTTGTCAATAAAGATCATTGTCTTGCTTATTGGCAAGCCACGAGGAGTGAATTTGTCATAACCGCAAACATGCACTTCGACGACACACATGTACACACCCACGTACACACGAGCTCGTGCGCACATACAGTTCTCATATTCTTGAGGACAGCTGCAGGGGTGTGGAAGCCTTGGGAAAATGGATTGTGGAATCAAGCCAATCAACTTCCTCTGTAGCCAGCACCTGTTTGTCTGTATCTGCTGCTGTTATTTCACAATACAGGGCGATTATAGAAATGCACAGAGATTAATACGCAGATTCTGTAAGCAAAGACTA